CTGAGATTGCACCACTGCACTCCAGCCCAGGCAACAGTGTGAGACTCCGTCTCAAAAATAATAATAATAATAATAATAATAATAATAATAAATAGAAGGAATATAGAGAAAAAGGAATATGAGAGAAAATGAGTGGGAGTATAGCTGTAAAGATTGGCTGGAAGTCAATCATTATGGAACCTGGGCAATGGGTACAGTGAGTTTATTATATTATTCCCTCCACTACTGTGTATATTTAAAACTGCCCATAGTAAGTAGCTTTTTAAAAATTCTATCTTTAGGATGGGTTTAATGCTGGAACTAAAGACACTTGTATAGCACTGGGTACTTAAGGAGCTTAAAGTGAATCAGAAAACCAGCAAAATTATTATCTTACTTACTTGTTATTATCATCTGACTTCTAATATTATCTACTGTTAACTTATTTTTTTAATGAACAAGGAAGCTTAAGCATTTCTTCAGTGGTTTATATGAACAGACTTCCTACATAGCACATTTTATAAAGGGTAGCAATTTATAAGATCAGTACATACCAGGAGTATCATAGGCCTTTTCCAAGTTGTTAATCCTATGATTCCAGAGAGTATCACCTGTAAAAATAAACTATCATAAATATAGAAAATGGACCAATTCCAATAAACAAATCCTCAGTCACAAAAGTACATATTTTTAAAGATACTGAAATTTCAAAACATTCTAAATCAAACATTTAATATTCCTCCTGGATTACAGGGTTCACCCTGGTAAACCACTTTGGACTTTTACTTCCAAGCCCTCAAAGCTTTTTTATTGACTTTAATTTTGTTTTGTTTTTAAAGACAGGGTCTTGCTCTGCCACCCAGGCTGGAGTGCAATAGCGTGATCATGCCTCATTGCAGCCTTGACTTCCTGGGCTCTGGTGATCCTCCCGCCTCCGCCTCTCCAGGAGCTAGGACTGCAGGCGCACGTCACCACACCTGGCCTGTTTTATCTTAATGTCAATTAAGAACACACAATCAGAAATTAGCCTCTCCTGGTGAGTGAGGAATTACTATTTCTCAGCCAAGCTCCCTGTTCCTAGCAGCACCCAATCTGTTGCCAGGGTCAGCCTCATCGGATGCATGTCTGGCGGTATCCTTCCCTTCATCAGGTACCCATCCACTATGGGACAGGTAAAGTCTTCGAAATGGGAAACAAGGCCCTTCGGGATTTTCTCTTACCTACTCTCAAGCTTGGTTTTTACATACCCCAGCCCCTCCACCACATACCTTCCTACCAAGTACCTGCCCTCCCTCGGTCCAGCCAGGCTCCTGACATTCCTGGGCTATGTGCTTCTTTCTCTTTGCTGAAGTGCTGTGTCCTCCCAGCTTCCCTCCTAGCTGCCTGAGAACTTTTACCCATCCTGCAAGGCCCCATTGAGCAGTCACCTGCCCTGAGAAGCCCTCACTGATTCCACTGCTCCACACTCATGGAAGCCTTCTGCACACACTTCCTTTTTTCCAAAAACTCTACTGTAATAATTGAGGGATGTGTCTCTGTATTACCCACTAACTGTGAACTCCTGTCTTGTCTCTCTAAAGTCCTAGTTCCCAGTATTGTGCCCCAATTGTTGGCAATTAATATATGTTCTACAGCATTTATTTCACAAAGTGGGAGGAACTACTGTGAGGAGGAGCCCATGTTGCAAAATGACACTTGGATAAAAAACGAGCTAAAAAATCTCAATAAGAAAAAAACAGGCTGGGCCTGGTGGCTCACTCCTGTTACCCCCAGCACTTTGGGAGGCCGAGGCAGGTGGATTGCCTGAGCTCAGGACTTCGAGACCAGCCTGGACAACATGGTGAAACCCCATCTCCACTAAAATACAAAACCTTAGCCAGGCATGGTGACGCTACTTGGGAGGCTGAGGCACAAGAATCTCTTGAACCCAGGAGGTAGAGGGTGCAGTGAATTGAGATCGCACCACTGCACTCCAGCCTAGGTGACAGAGCGCAACTCATCTCCAAAAAAAAAAAAAAAAAAAGTATTATTAAAAGGAAGTGTCCAGCTGCAGCCATAAAAACCCATAAAATAGTGATATGCCTAAACTGTTCTTCTCACCTTGCCTACCCAGCCACAGCACCCCACCCTCCTCCATGTTAACAATCTAGCATGTTTACATATTTTACATATGTATGTATTTTTCTCTAAATTCTTAGTACTACACACATATGTCTATGTGTATATATACACACTCACAGGGATGTGATTTTTGTGAAAAAAATCATAAAAGATATACTTTCCCTGCCTCTTCCTTTACTCTCTCAATAAATACTTCATAGAAATCTCTTCATACGCATTGGAACAGCTCTAATTCATTTCACTTTAGTGGCTACATAACATTCCATTGTGTGACTGTATTTAACATATTCAATCATTTCCATATTAATGGGCATTCATTCTATGTCTAGTTTTTTGCTCTCACAAACAATGCTGCAGTAAACATCTATGAACACATATCTTTAAAAACAAGTGCTTTTATTTCAGCGGAAAAAAGTCCCAGGAGTGAAGTTTCTAAGTTGAAAGGTATTTCTAATTTTTTTATTTTAATAGATTCAACTGTCATTTCAAATGAGGTATCTCTGAAACCAAAGAACTAAGCTATCTGTATTTCTTCCTTTGGAGGGGAGGTATTTTGTTTGCATATGGTAGCAACAAACTATAGAAAATGTAAGTTAAAAAATATGTACAAAATGTATATATGTACAAAATGAGAAACATCAATAATCTCAAACTATATATGACAAAGATCTTTAAGGCCTCAGTGGGGAGAAATACAAAGTTTATCATGCAATATTAAACGAATAGCCAAGTAAGTCAAGGCATATACCAAGTCTGTGGATTGAAGACAAACTAAGAATGTGATTTCCATTTAAGTTGTTATATAGACTCAGCACATATTCAAGTTAAATCCCACCAGGATTCCTGTAAGCCACCGCTCTTTACAATGTTTTAGAAACTATATTCCAGCTCCAGGCGGGAGCTATAGTTGTGGCTCTTCATTCCTGAACCCAGCAACAAAGGCACACACCTACTTTTATTCAACTTCTCCCTCTCTTCAAGCCCGGTGAAGCCCTGAGGCACTTGGGGAACCCTGTGAGTGTTGATGGGGAGAAAAGCAAATAGAGGAAGCAGGCCTGGATGGTTAGAAGCCTCTCGAATGGTTAATGGGAACAGAGGTGCTACAGTTGGGGATAAATTTTTTAAGAGCTCAAGACTCAAGGAATGATGCTTCCATTTCATCTGAAAGGGAGGCAGAATTCACGGATGGGGAAAGGAGTTGGGAAAAGAAGAGAAGGAGGCAGAGTATTCAATGCCTCCACTCCCTTGGTGGCAGCAATAGCTGGAGCTCCATCAGAAATGAGTCAAGAAGGTCCCTTAACAATGTCCTTCCATGGCTCCCACTATGCCGGAATGCTATTACATGTTTAACCGTCAGTATCACGATGAGGGCTTGGACCTGTGCATACTCACTCGCACACCACTAAAGGATCCCAGAAGGCACTCAGTTAGTTACGGCAAGAGTCAATGAGTGAATGAATGAATGGAGGCCAGAGACAGGAGATGACCGTGCTCAAAGATGACTATGTAAGCCTAAACACATTTTTCATCCCCTGTGCTTCCTGAAAGAGTACAGCAGCAACAAAAAGCAACTCCATCAGCATTCTTTCCATCCAGCGCAAGATGGAACTAGCCCTGAATGAACAGGTAAGAACCTATTTTCTAACACCAAACAATCTCTGTATTATAATGAGAGGTATTACAAGTTTTGTTCTGATAACCCATTTCTTGTAGCTTATAGGAAAAAGCAGAGGCCTTTCCTTTTTTCTGATACTACAAAGAAGGGCTCTGAGGTATCCCAGGGGAGAGTCACGGTTACCCACCATAAATGGTTAATGTGCTTTCATTTTCCAAAGTAAAAATCAAATCGTTAAGATCAGAAGCTTATAATTCTACTGCCCTATTTCCCTTTGCTAATCCATTAACATGTGTTAGAGCAAAAATGTTCTGAATCATTTATCAAAAGCTGCTGTGTGTAAACACAGAGATTTTTAAAAAGCCATTGTTGTAAATATCCTGTGTTACCTTATAAATAAGCAGAAAATCATGTCAAACTTCTCAACAACCTACCCTGCCCTATAGCTCTTATGATGGCAATTTTTTAAAAAATGTGTGTGTGTGTGTGTGTGTGTGTGTGGTTTTCTTCCCTATCTGTCTAGCATAGCTCATTTAAAAAAAAAAAATTTGAGAAAATGGGCAACTGAATATTTCTAATGAAAACATGATGGTAACTATAATGTCCTACAAAAATACTGGCCTGTTCACTTTACTTTGATTAACTATGACTTTGGTGTTTAAAAACCATTGATAGAGGTTCCTGTGTATTCCAGGTCTGGTGCTTGGGTCCAGCAGTGATGCACTCTCCCATATATACTCTAGCTACACCTTCACAAAATTAGTCCTGAAGAAGCAGCATCCCACCCATTTTACAGATGAGTAACTGAGGCCGAGAGGCACAGAACTTATAAATGTGACTCTGCTGATATGCAAAATAAAGGACCAAAGAAATCAAAACTCATCCTCAAAATTATATTTTAAATATCCTTTAAATATTAAAGTAGTATTTGATTAGTATGATAAAAAATATTTACTATCATTTAACTGGTAGTAAGCATAATCTTTATGTTAGTTTTTCCTTTGGTCCACTGATTTTTCTTTATGTTTATTCACTGCAATTTTTTTTAAAAAGGTTCACCCTAAAGTTCACCAATGTCTGTCTCTTTATATGAAAGTGAAACCTTGCCAAAGAATCATGGACTCAAAGAAGGATGATCATGAATTCAGATCAGTGACTTAAAGCAGTATACAACTGATAAAGAATAACAGGGCACTCAGTGAGGAACAAAAAACAACCAATTCTCTACCACTCATCTGAAATATCTCCCAGGGATCATGCATGTCATCGAAGTTAGGAATTTTGTTTCTGAAGGAGGAAAGACAACCCAATGCAACTCTCTCTCCTCTTTCATTAAATCTAGTGCAGTGTGGCAGACTGAGTCTCCCATACCGCAGTGGAATGTAGTTAACCCCAGTGGAACCTAGTTAACTCCCATACCCCAGTGGAATCTAGTTAACCCCAGCGGAATCTAGTTAACCCCAGTGGAACCGAGTTAACTCCCATACACCAGTGGAATCTAGTTAACATTAACTCCCATACCCCAGTGAAATCTAGTTAACCCCATTGGAACAGTTAAGTGGAATCTAGTTAACATTAACTCCCATACCCCAGTGGAATCTAGTTAACCCCATTGGAACAGTTAACTCCCATACCCCAGTGGAATCTAGTTAACCCCATTGGAACAGTTAACTCCCATACCCCAGTGGAATCTAGTTAACATTAACTCCCATACCCCAGTGGAATCTAGTTAACTCCAGTGGAACCTGGTTAACTCCCATACCCCAGTGGAATCTAGTTAACATTAACTCCCATACCCCAGTGGAATCTAGTTAACTCCCATGCCCCAGTGGAATCTAGTTAACACTAAACACACCCCCCAAACCGAGAGCTAGGACAGCACAGCTGAAGACGGACACTGAGACACTCCCTTAGCCACTCACCTCCAGTCAAACGTCAGGTTGTTTTTCAAGATGGCTCATCTTTTAGCTTCATGAATTTTGGGAATAATAATATGAGTGATTTACCAGTGATACCAGGAAGAAATCGAATGCTCAGAGTGCTCAAAAACACAGACTACGTTAAAAACTCTCCCTTCAAGTTGCTGAAAGTATGAATGAAAACTATGAGAAAAGATGCTTTATAGAATTTGTTAATTCTTAAGTGTTTTAAAAAATAGATAAAATATACCTTCAAAGTTCAAACAAGTGAAAGAAGCCTCCAAAATCTCAGGCTCAGGGCTCTCTTAAGGAAATACGTATGAAAAAATATCCTTGAACTATACGGTGTTCAACAAATAGTCATTTCAAATAAATATATTTGTCTCTTGAACCTAATTTTGTATCAAATATACAAGCAAAATTTTTCAGTGAAGCCTAAAGAAGATGTGTGGGTTCAGTTGATATAGCAGGCTAAGGATCCTAATGGTCAAAGCTTGAAATATGAGGATATTCTTCTGCTGTGTTCCTATGTGGTTTCAAAGTAACCTTAGACATAAGTTGGCACTTCCATTCAACTACCTAGCTTCATATGCCAATAAAACTTGTGAATGAATAAATAAACATGGCATATCCATACAATAAAATAGGAATGAAGTACTGAGACTTGCCACAGCATGGATGAAGCTTGAAAACATGCTAAGTGAAAGAAACAAATCATAAAAGACCACATATTATATGATCCCATGTATATGAAATGTCCAGAACAGACACATCTACAGAGACTGAAAGTGGGTTAATCAGTGGGTGGCTAGAGGTGGAGGTGGTGGAGAATGGGGAGTAACTACTCAAAACTTTGGGGGTGACAAACATTTTCTAAAACTGTAATAGTTGCACAACTGTGAATTTACTAAAAACCACTGACCAGTACACTTTAAATGGGTAAATTGTACGGCATGTCAAAGCTTTTTTTTTTTTTAATTCTGCAGTTCTCGACTCATACTCTTCCAGCACTTTTTTTTAATAGAAACCTTAGTTTAGCTATCTTTGAATTAGTTACAATGTGCTATCAAGCCCATTTCTTTTATAAATACATACTAAAATACTAATGGCTGAAGTTGTGATACCTGGAATTTGCCTTAAAATAATCCGAGGGTGGGGCCGGATGTGGTGGCTCACGCCTGTAATCCCAGCACTTTGGGAGGCCCAGGCGGGCAGATCACGAGGTCAGGAGATCGAGACCATCCTGGCTAACATGGTGAAACCCTGTCTCTACTTAAAAAAACACAAAAAAAACTAGCTGGGCATGGTGGTGGGCACCTGTGGTCCCAGCTACTTGGGACCGAGAATAGTGTGAACCTGGGAGACAGAGCTTGCAGTGAGCCAAGATCGCGCCATTGCACTGCAGCCTGGGCAACAGAGCAAGACTCCGTCTCAAAAAAAAAAAAAAAAAATTATCTGAGGGTGTTAGGAAGGGGAAGCAGTGTTAGGTATAAAGTGGTCATGTGTTGATAGCTACTGGGTGAAGGGTAAAATGAGGGATCATTACACCCTTCTTTCTACATTTGTTGAGATTTTTTAAATTTTCATAATAAAAGATTTAAAGTTAAAGGGAGTAGTTCTTCGAACTGCCCACTCAATCCTACGCTGGTTCTATTTTTTTGTAATAAAAATACACACATTGAAATATATATAGATGAAATGTGACACCTGAGATTTGCTTCCAAATAACAAGAGAACTTAATCTCACAAATGGACTAGGGAGCACGAAGGATCTAATTCCTACCCTGCTTGGAATATTCATCCTTCCTGAAGTTTATCAGAAGACACAAGGCCCGCAGCAGAGCCCGGGAATTGGGTACAAACGAAACCGTTGTTGAAGCTGGGTGAAAGATACATGTGGGTTCAACATATACTGCATAAAATGTAAACTTTTCCACAACACGAAGTTTTTCAAAAACAACCTCTGTCACATGCATAAATTCAAAACATGTGATACAAGGCTTTTTCCCCTAAAGCACCAACAGAGTCATGGTGCCTAAAGCCATCCTCTTAAAACTGTATTTAATTAATTGTTCTACAAATACAGTATCTATTGCTTCTGTTGTCACTTTGTAAATTCTGAGATCAATCCCAGGATCAAGTCACAAAAAGCAGGAATAACCAACAGTTATAGAGTTGCATATAGACCGGGGTTTGGAGGGTATGGGGAAGAATGGGGAAAGACATAGCAGAGAACTTGTCAGTTCCAAATCACTGATTTCTTTTTCTGCTCTGCTATGCCCAGACTTGGAGACAAGGACATACCCAGCCAGCAGACCAGGAGTATTTATCTATTTATTTTATTTTATTTTATTTTATTTATTTATTTATTTTTTTTTTGAGATGGAGTCTCGCTCTGTCGCCCAGGCTGGAGTGCAGCGGCGCGATCTCGGCTCACTGCAAGCTCCGCCTCCCGGGTTCACGCCTTTCTCCTGCCTCAGCCTCCCGAGTAGCTGGGACTCCAGGCGCCCGTCACCGCCTCCGGCTAATTTTTTATATTTTTAGTAGAGACGGGGTTTCACCGTGTTAGCCAGGATGGTCTCGATATCCTGACCTCGTGATCCGCCCGCCTCGGCCCCCCAAAGTGCTGGGATTCCAGGCATGAGCCACCGCGCCCGGCCCAGACCAGGAGTATTAACCTTCACCTTCTGGTTGAAGGCCTTTTTTCTTTTCTTCTTCTTTTTTTTTTTTTTTTTTTTTTTTTTTTTTTTTTTTTTTTTTTTTTTGGTACTTCATCAAATTCAACTGTGGCTTGACTGATATCTAAGTGCATTTACCTCTGAAATGATTCACAATAGTAAATGATATCAGCTTTTAATTTTATAAGACAAAAAATAGTTTTTAATAATTCTAAACTAGCTATGTTTGAGAAGACAATAGATCACGATTTTATGAAGAGCAAATTCCTAAAAATATATGCAAGATTATTACTGGCCCATAGTATTTAGAGAAACGAAATGCACCCACTCTTTGGCTGGATTTAGTCAGACAAGTAGAATAGGTAGCATAACAGGTCTAATTCCTACCCCATCTGGAATATCCATCCTTCTGGAGTTTTCCTGAACACTCATGGAGGCCAGCGGCAGAGCCCACAGGCAGGGCCACTAGGGTGGCATTTTTTTCTACATGAGGCACAAATCGTGGTCTTCCCTCACCACAGCACAGCATGTACCCCAATAAGATCATTCAACATGAAAGTATTTCAAAAGGAAAGCAAATTGGCACTGGATGAAGTATACAATTTCAGGCGAGTCTCAAGGAACCTAATGTTCTTATTTAAACAATTACTTTGGGTTCAACTAGTTCTTCGAGTCCTTTTTTTCAGTTTGGTCTTGAATTGCCGTATGTGTGAAACTGCAAAAGCAGTTCTTACCATTCAGGACATACACTGATTACAGATCTTACTAAAAACTAGCAGCATTGCTAGACTTTCAGATTTACACAGTGAGTTCATAGAAAGGTTATTTACGGCCGGCTGTGGTGGTTCATGCCTCTAATCCCCACATTTTGGGAGGCCGAGGCAGGAGAATCACTTGAGCTCAGGAGTTGGAAGCCAGCCTGGGCAACATGGGGAAACTCCGTCCCTTAAAAATAAAAAATAAAAATTAAAAATTAAAAAAAAAAAGATATAAAGAAAGGTTATTTACTTTACTCATCTTCCATAGTCATCCCACAAAGATGTGTTTCCAAGTCTCTCAACCCCCAGAAAACTTCAGGGGGTTACATGCCTTGGACATTGTGCGATTGTTAGGAGGTGGAGGCGAGTGACCACCCGGTGTCCGTAGATACTGGCTGGCAGCAGCTTTTCTCTGAAGTTGGGCACTCTTTGGCCCCAGGCTCAGCGTTCCCGGTTGGAGGAGTGGGTCCTGGAGAGCAGACATCTCTAGCTAGCTGCTGCGTGCTCCAGGACCTTTGGCCAGCTCGCCCCTAATGACAGGTCCCGGTTCTCACAAACTGAATTCTGCACAGCAGCCTGCATGGCTCCAGGAACCAAGTGGGGTTAAGGCCCTCCTTTAATGACCAGGTACAAGCGCCAGTTCACACACACCCTCTCATTACCTCCTGAACTCGTCTGGGAGTCGAGCCACCCTACACATTTCACATTTACGTGTGTCTTAATGGAGAATAAAACAAGCGATGTGTCCGAAACTGTCCCATCCCACAAATACACCTACTATGTGCCAGGCATTCTTGATACATCGGTGAACAAAAATGATCAAAATCCCTGCCCTCCCAGCACAGACGTTGTCAGTGCAGCAAATACTCAACGACCAAAAGAAGTTTAATCACTTTCCTCCCACTTTCCTGCCACCCACACCCTGTCCTTCCAGTCTCCCAAAGAGCTGGGTGTCTTTGCTTAATTCTATTAGCTTAACAGGGACAATAAAATCCTTCAGCCTGCGCGCAACAGACACTACCCAGGTGCAGCCCAATTCACCCCTGAACTCGACCGTCGCGGAACATTTTTCTCCAGGCTCCAAAAACTTCAGGTGGCGTTAAGGCTCCCCCAACTGCAGCCCTGGAGGCCAACTAAGGGACAATGGAAGGGTACGACCAGAGCCCCCTATCCACGGGATGACCGGGCGAGCGGGGCGCGCGCGCGGTACTCACCGAGGAGCCGGCCCAGAACGGGCACGAGTTCTTCACCTGCGGAGAGCTGCTCAGCGACAGCGCCCCGAAGCTGAGCGCCACCATGCAGCAGCCCAGGATCAGCTGCAGCAGCCCGAGTGACAGCAGCGGGCGGGCGGGCAG